GTCTCTACAATGTGAAGGCCTGGTTACCAAGATTCAAATTCTATCTACTCCATTGCCAAGGAAATGATGTCATATCCTGGGTCACCTGACCTTGTCCTGATTTCAAATCAGAGCCCCCAAGGTTGCACCTGGGCTGCTGAATGGTCACTTGTCCCAATGCCACCTCCATAATTGGGCACAATGACACCTACACAGCATCCATAGAGCTTGGGGATGGTTGAGGTGCAGCCAGGCCTCAAGCTTTGAGAAGTCAGAGCTGACCTCAAACACAGTTCATACTTCAACCAGTTTATGAACCTGGCCATGTATTTGTGCTTTTCAGAATATCCACAGTCCCCAGCCACACAATGAGGGTCATTCTACCATCCACTTCCTTGGCATGTCACCAGGTGTGTGGGAGACAAAAGCTATATAGACTACAATATACGTCTTGTAGCAGACAAAATATTCACTAGAGGCTCAGTGGGTAAGCACTCAGCTGCTAACTGAAAGGTCGGGGATTCAAATCCACAGCTGCTCCCTGGGAGAAAGAGGTGGCATTTCTCCCTGCCCTGTGCAGTGGGCCATGGCCTGTATTAGAAGACCCCAAGCCCTTGTCCTGAGACAGAGCTGTCTCCATTACCTCTCTTCTTTTCTTGGGGTCCCATGGGTCTTCCTCTCAGACACATCCCTCATGTCCCCCCTGTCAAATCAACATGTGGGCCAGTGGTTCTCCCACATCTTAGGGCCTCTCACTCCCAACACTAACCCCATGTGAAGTGCTGAGCCCTGGCCTAAGAGTCTGGTGATCTCTTCATGCTCTGGACTCTGCCCATCTCTGTGTCCTGTACCGTCCCTGCCTCTCTGTTGTACTCAGTTTCCCAGTTTTCACTGAGGGTTTGACAAGTGTTTTGGCTCTCCTATTACTGTAATAGAACTGCCACAAGTCGATGGCTTTAACAAATAAGAATTTCTTTTCTTACAGTTGAGGAAACTACAAGTCCAAATTCAGAGTGCCAGCTCTCAGGGCTGTGTGAAGGCCCCTCGACCTTCGCCTTCAGCGCTGCCTCTTGTTCCAGGCCCACTGGAGCTGCAGGCTTCTTCTGAGTCACACAGTAACTGGCTGTTGAGGCTCATGAATCCATTATGATCAGGTAAAATGCCACAATCCCAACATCAGCAGGCAAAACAGCAAGACACTGCTTCAAGTCCAGGAACTAGAGATGAAGACTTGGCAAAATGTAGGATCCAGATAAGCCAAAAGGACCGAGATCTTTCTCAAAGCATCTCCACATATAGTACAAGCAGGCCACACCCCAAAGGCAGCTCTCCTTCTACTGATTAAAATCTCACACCAGATTCCACCGTGGTGTTGATTACCCAATCTCATCTTGGCAAATAAGTGTATCTAGCTGCCAAGCCACTCAAAACCATGGCCTATCCAAGCTGACACACAACCCTAGCTATGAAATGGCACTCCCTCCTTGTCAACTTGGCACCAATATAGATCTCCTTCATTGGGTGGCTCGATTCTCCTAATCCATCTGAATGGTGACCTCACCTCCTTGTCCTGGCAGACCCCAATCTTCTGTACCTTGGGCATGTCAGTCCCGCCCACTCACTTTTGGGCAGCGCATATGGCCCCATCCCATTGGCACTCATGTACAGCACCCCGACACTCCAGAACCGAGTTGGTGAATATCTAGCTCTTTGAAACATAGGAGGCTGTGTTGGTTCCACCCTTTGAAACCCCAGAGGACATGGTCCTGTACTTTGAGACAGAGGCAGCTCACATTCCTATTTCCTTGGTGTCTTGAAGAAAGCAGCCACAGCCTCTGCCTTCTTCCAGCAAGTATTAGAGAGCTCTTCGGTTCTACCTATTAATGTGTGATGGCAACCCACTCCACCAGGAAACCTTCTGCAC